TAAGACTCATGTGGAGTGTATTATTTAGCCTAGGCCAGTCTCTCATTGACATTGACCTGTCTCTGCTACCACCACACCAGGCTTCATCTTGAGGTCTGACGAAATACCGTTTTTTCAGAGAAGACTCCATAAACATCAGTTTATTTATCACATTATTCTTCTGGACGTTAGATCTGCCTGAAACTTGAGATCTCTCTGTCTTGGTTTCCCATATGGTGGGATTACAGGTGCGTACCATCATTCTCAAAAATATTTTTCTTTGTGAAATACTATTTTACTTATAGTACATTTGCATTTGGAAAATTACACACATATTCTGTAGAAGTTTTTCTATCATAACTTTTATTTTAGGAAAGAAAAGTGTTCTCTTGAATTTTCACACCCTTTCATATCTTTTCTCCAACACAAAGCTAGAAAAGGCAAAGTAGGGGGAAGTGGGTGACATCCCATTATGAAAAGTCACAAGAGTTAGTAAATTAATTAGTCCTAAACGCTGGTAACTTAGCAAACTCTAAGAACATACAGTGTGTTCCTAAATTTCTAGAGAGTTAAAATTACAGTATATTGTATAAAGCTTCTTACTCCAGTCATACAATCATTTCACTCTGGCTTAACTAATCATCTAGTCTCTTTTTCACAAATGTAGAATTGCTGCAGGAAAAGCTTCCTTTAGGTAAAAGTGAACCTCTATAAGTGACATGCATCAGGTTGTGTGTTTTACTCTAATATCCCCACCATTTTGGGAATTGACCTAGATTTACAAGATAGTCTTCATTACTGAAAATTTATAGTTCTCCAGTGGCTTTCATTTGCTAAATTAGCTTCTGCTGCATATTAAACATTGATAGCTAATGCTACTTTATCGCTGCTGGTCCTTTTCAGCATCTCTTTTCACAGAGTACAATCTCCATAATTAGAAAATAGCATGGCTTCTTCATCTAGCACATCAGGAGGGTAAAGATGTTGTGCTCCAGCTCTCGTTTCATATGCCAGCCTTCATAACACTGATGGGATAATAGCATTCTTTCAATTTTATAATGGTAATAGGTGTGCTGAATTGTCTTCCTAAAAAATAAAAATGAAACATGGAAAGATGTAAATGTATTAAGACAAGGAAACATCACATTAACAGAAATGTCATATTAAATTTTGGAAAAATTTAGTACTGAAGGAAATTGGTATTTCTCTTGTCAACAAGAACAACTGCAGGAAAAAAATTAGGTGAGTAACATGTTTCAACTTTACTAGTCATCAACCTTCTCAAAGTACTGCTGTTTATTTGTATTCATATAATTTCTCATTTGCATCCCATTTAAGTGACACTCATAATCATATGTAAAGGTGCATCTCTGTGACTTTAACAAGGTCATTAACTATCTGATAATGTTGAAAGAGTATAAAGAATTTAAACCTAATGTTGGCATTTAATTTACCAGTACACTGTGTACTTTGATAATATAAATACAAGAAGCCTTATTAACTATTATGTGGATGCAAAAAAAAAATCCTGATACTATAAAGTCAAGTGAAAACTTATACGTCATAACAAGTTTTTTAAATTTCAGAGGCTAGAATGATATATAAATAGTACACATTTATTTATTCACTCACTTTAAAAAAAAAAAAACTTGAGACAAGGCCTCATGTAGTCAAATCTTTTCTTGTTTTGGTCCTCCAAACACTATTTATCAAGTTCAGGGACATAGGTATGTACCATCATTCCTGATTTAAAAAAAATAATTTAGATATGTCAATGTTGATAAAGCAAAATACTAGAGAATGTTGAAAAGATATGTAGTAACTTTCCTACCAAGTCTTACTACATATGTAGTAACTTTTTTTAATTTAATTTTATTTTTTAAATATTAGTTACAGTTTATTAACTTTGTATCTCAGCTATAGTCTGCTCCCTCATTCCCTCCCAATCTTTCTTAACAATTCACTTGTTTACTCTATATTCCTACCAGATTTCTAGTAACTTAACTTAATACCTCTAATTTTAAAGATGATTTAAGTTGCATAATTAGAATATTTTTGATAGCTTAACCTTAAAAATGCTATAAAATTAATTGGGGTATTATTTACTCATACATGAGTAAAAGATCGAGTAGTAGTTACTTTATCACAATAAGGAAAGAACACTCATAATCTACTTCTTAGCTTTAGGATATTTAAGGCATGTTACTTGGAGGCTGGGAAGAATGATTAGCTTTCTCTGTTGTTTTAGAGATTGTATGACATGGTAAGTCCTTGTAAAATATATAGCACAGCAAAAGCTATTCACCTTGTAATAGCACATCATTTATCAGGGTCCCAATATCCCTAAGAGTCTGTTCTTAGGGGCTTAGCTTCTTGCTGCTAGGCTCCAACTCAAAGATTTTACTCCCTTTTAACATGGTTTAACTGAAGAAAAGGCCTTTAACATATGGGCCTATAAGGGATATTCCATAAGGGATATTCCAACTCAGACTATATAACTATTTCAAAATTATTATTAAGTTGGAGTTCTTACCTGAAAATTCACATTTATATATGAACAAATGCATGTACATATAGAATTAGATGTTTTTTAGTGTGACTGTTTATTTTCATCCAGTTTCACCATGTACCCCACTCTCTGCACAACCAAATATCCTTTATTATATAGATATTGAAAGTCAAATCCTTTCCTATGACTTTTGTGTAGGAGTGTGACATAAATGTCTGTGCCAGTCATAAGACCAGTAAAATAAATGTATATCTATGGAAGAAGGTAATTGCATGTAATGAGTTCATAGCTGCCTTGTAGGCCATGTGACATATTTATTTCTTTAGTTAAACCTATAATATTTATTATATACATTACTTGAGATAATTCATTTCTCTAACTGTCCTTTATTGTACAACTTTGTAGAATAGTTTAATATATTCTTAGCTATTATTTCTTAATTTTAATTAATTGAGCCATCAAAAAGTATGTTTCACATCATTCACTCTTCTTCAGAATTGTTGTAACAGTTAATATTCCTACCCATTCCTAACTAGTATTGTGTTGAATATGAGTGATTTTTTTTATTTATCTCTAATACCTATCAAACTTATGTCTTTGATTATGGTTTCTTCTCAAATTGTATCCATCAGCGAGTCATTGCTAGAAAATGATAAAAATTACAAATCTTGCTTTCTCCTCATCTTCATACAATAGCAATCTGTATTTTCTTATATTCTTTTACTTGTTAATGGATCTATTTATTTATGTTTTAATTTATTCTACTGTCTGAGAATTTCTTACATTTAATGTGTTTTGATCAAATCTAGCTCCAATTCATACCCTATTATTCCCCACAACAACTTATGATCTTTTTAGAAATCAGTGAGTCCACTTTATATACATAGGTATATAAAGTGTATACTGTATATACATGGGTGTAGGACAGTCTATTAAAGAACATGGGTAGCCATTCAGAGTTACATCCCTGAAGTAAACTGACTCTCCTTTTACCAGCAGACACCAAATTTCCAATAGCTCCTCAGTTAGGGGTAATATATACATCCTTGTTAGGATTTTTTTTAACTGTTACTTGTCTTTATTTTATTCCTTTTTAAATTTTTTCTTTTTATTAATTACAGTTTATTCACTTTGTATCCCAACTGTAGGGGCCCTTCCCTAACCTCTCCCAATCCCATCTTTTCTCCCTCTTCTTTTCCTATGCCCCTCCACAAGTCCAATGATAGGGGAGATCCTCCTTCCCTTCCATTGGATGATAGTCTATGAGGTCTTATCAGGAGTGGCTTCATTTTCTTCCTCTGTGGACTGGTAAGGCTGCTCCCCCCATCAGGTGGAGATGGTCAAAGAGCAGGCCAATCAGTTCATATCAGAGACAGTCCCTGTTCCTATTATTATGGAACCCACTTGGACACTGAGTTGCCATGGGCTACATCTGTGCAGGGGTTCTAGGTTATCTCCATGCATGGTCCTTGTTTGGAGTTATCAGTCTGACAAAAGACCCCTGTGGCCCAGATCTTTTGGTTCTGTTGCTCTCCTTGTGGAACTCCTGCCATCCCAGGTCTTTCTTTCTCCCACTTCTTTCATAAGTTTTTCTGCCCTCTGCCCAAAGTTTGGTTATGAGTTTCAGCATATATTTTGATATCCTGCTGTCTAATGTCTTTCAGAGGCTGTCTATGATAGACTCCTGTCTTGTTCCTTCTTTTCCCCCTCTTCTGATGTCTGTCCCTTTTGTCTTTCTGAATGTTAACTGGACTGTTCTTGCACTGGTCTTGTACATGCAATCACCGCTACTGTGAGATCATGTATGTGACCACCCTGGCATATCTGGCAAGTGCTGCTGATGTTCACTACCTGCACCTTTTAAAATCACCTGCTGCCTCTTCAATGAGGATCCCTTAGCCTTGGGTGTAATGGGGGTGTGAATGTGATACAGATGTCCCATTTACAGCTGAACACTCCAAAATCTCTGGTTCTGTGTATGTTAACTAGTTGGGGGTCTCTGCATTAACTGTCATCAATGAGAAGTTTCTCTGATGAACATTGAAAGATGCACTAATCTATTATTGTAGTGATATTACTTAAGGTACAGACTTGTAATATACCTAGTTGGCACAATGATACTATTTATGAAATGTCTCTCCTTATTCTACCATAAAGTATAATGTTGCACTTTTTGTTTGTTTGTTTGTTTGTTCTTCAAGACAGAGTTTCTCAGTGTAGCCTTGGCTGTCCTGGACTCAGTTCGTAGAACAGTCTGGCCTGGGATTCATAGAGATCAGCCTGCCTCTGCCTCCCGGAGGAGTCCTGGGATTACAGGCATGCACTAGTGCACCAGGCTTGTTACCCATATTTAGAGTAATGTGCATTATGGCCCTGGCCAGAGGTCATCTAAGGCATGGTCGGCCTCCTCAGGCATGCACAGAACCAGACTGGTGGTCATCTTAGGCTAACTCCCTGTCTGGGCCCCATGGCGCTGGACTGGTGGTCATCTCAGGCTCTCTGTGGTTCAGGAAGTGTTGGGCTACTAATCCCTGGGTGTTCACAGGTCAGAACACTGAGCATTGACATAGGCTTTCCTCTCTCTGTCATCTACTGGCGCCCATGTGACACAGCACCCACACCGGCACCGCCTCAAGGGGCAGGATTAAAATACACTTGAATGTTTAAATGTTTAAAGAAGAATAAATATTTCAGCCAAAGGGTAACGTCCTTTCCAATAAAGTTGAGCCCTCCCCAGGAAATAGTTCAAGCAGCTAGTCAATGCTCCTTCAGCATCCTGGTAGCTTACCATCATGCTTTGTCCAAGTTTTCACCTCATGACTTCACCAGTCTGACCTCTCAGTGCCAGTCTCTAGATTAGTACTTTGTACTCCACAGCCCGTGGCACACACTTAAACTGACTTCATGCACACTCTGCAAATACCGCTCTTATGCTTAGATTCAGCTGTCTCATAGTCTTACTTCTCTTCTTGCCGTGGAGGGTTTTCCTGTCTTGATATCAACAAGCCTTGCATCAGTTGTGATGGAGAAGGTAATTAATATCTTCTCAGCTGGCATTATTTCCTGAATAAGTTTTTCTGTGATTTCTAGTAACATTAAATAGTAAAGATTATATTTTTTATTAAACTTTCTGATTAATTTTACACATTGGCTATAATTAACCTGTAGAAAATAAACACTGATTTCTTAATGAATAATATAATTACACTTGAAGATAAATACTTGACGTATTCATTCCCAGTTATTTTTTTTCTGTTTCTTTTTAAAACACTTTTCTTTCTTTCATCTTATAGAGAATGAATATTTTTATACAATGTATTCTGATTATGATTCCCCTCTCCTAATTGCTTCAAGATCTTCCTTTCATTTTTCTAATCTATATCCCTTTTTTCTCTCATTAGAATAAAAACATATTTCTAAAATTCTAATAAAAGTAAAATAATATAAATAAGAGGAAAAAATCAGATTAAGACAAAAGAGAAAATAAAAAGTTTCAAATGAAATAGGTATACAGACACTAAGACACACACAAAAAGCACATAACAAGAAAACTACAAACCATTATATATAAGCAAAAGTTCCATAAGTTAAACAAAAATGTCCAAAGCAGAGAGACAAACAAACAATAAAACTTCCAAAAATACTATTGAATTTATTTTGTTTTGGCCATCTACTTCTGGACATGGGACCTGCCCTTAAGTACAGTTTGTATACCAAATGAGACTTCATTTAAATTGTTTTTTTTTTTTCCTTTCCTTTGTGAGAGTTAGGAATTAGGAATGGCTTCTGGATTAGTGATAGGAGTGAGTATCTACCTCCCTACAGCTCTGGGACTTGTGTAGGCCCTGTGGATGCTGCCATAGTCTCCATAAGGTCATTCACACATCGGTCTGTTGTGTCTAGAAGGTCTGATTTCTTCAGTCTCTACCATCACCTCTAACCTTTAAGATCTTTCTGCCTCCTCTTCCATATAGTTTCCTGAGCTCTGAGGGGAAAGAGTTGAACATTGTACAACTGTGGGTTACTACACTTCTCCCCTCTATTGTAGGAAGAAGCTTCTCAAATGATGGCTGGACAAGACTCTGATCAATGGTCATAACAGAATGCTATTAGCAGTCATTTTATTGTTATGTTCCTTTAGTAAGGAGCTCTTTAACCTTTTTACTTTACACATCATATCAAAGGTGCCAAATATAATGTAATAATGCCCAATGTAAAGAATATACTTAACACAACATTGCACAGAAACAATTGTTTAGTTGGACATTTAGCTTTAGTTGGACATCTTAGAATTTATTCTGGTTGTCCATGTACACAATAAAGAATGTGTGTATTTTATCATATTTTGCATTCAGATAGATGATGTCAGGTTTTCTAAGAATGCCTGGTGCATTTGAGGATCAACCCTATCTATAATAACAAGGCCAGACATTCAAAACCAGAGACATGTCTGAAGCGACCAAAGTAGGCCTGGATCTCACCTGTCAGATATTGTTGGGCTAGTCAATTAAAGCACAAAAGAAGTGAAATGGAAGTAAAAGAGCTGATTTCCTATGCTTCCCTTCTATCAAGAAAGTTTGATTCCCTGAATAATCAGATGGCTTCGTGTGTGAGAGGGCAAAATATCATCAGATCGCCTCTTCTTTTTACATAGTAAGGAGGCTTTTGCTCAAGATGCCAAAGAATGGCAATGTTGGACTAGAAATTCAATTATTAAAAAAATGCCTTACCTTTTTGGAGACAAGAATTTCTAATCAAATGATGGTCAAATGTGCTACAATTACAAAAACTTCTGTTGACTAATTTCTTTGGAAAAAGTAATAACTTTTAAAAATCATGTAGCATAGTTATAGGTGTTAAACTTTTCTTTTAACTGTTTATTGGTGCTCTTCTCAAGATTTATATGTCTGCTAATACACAATTCCTCCAAACAAATGACTCTATATATGCCATTCCCTCAATTCCAGTACACCAAATCTGGTGTAGGAAGGGTTAGCTGCCATTCCTGTAGATTCATAGAGCCATCACAATTATCTATAAACAAATTACTGCACTCGTGTTATACTAAGTTATTATCGTAGACTGTGTAGTTCTAAAAACACAAATCATAACCTCATTGCGATTAATGTTATGACAACAGAGCCACAAATATACTAATTAGTATTTTACAGTTAATATAGGACCTATATCTATATTTACTAATTGCTTATTTGTGGTTATATTAGCCTGTATTATACCAGCTTTCTTATTTGTGACAGATACACAGTAGAACACTGGAAACTATACGTTTTTCTCACCATTTACAATCCTGCTCCCACTTGTCTCGGGAGCAAGAAGTTCCTAGACGTGCTTTATGTAGCTCTAGAATAGCCCTCCAGGATGGGGAATTAGCAGTACTTTCCTAATAATGGGGAAAATGAACAGTATTATCTTTCCAGAGATCAGCATTAATAGATTTATTCTGGTCTGTCTGAAAGTGATATTTCTATAATTAACAATTGACTGAAATTCCTAGCCAGATTATCTCAATTAGATAACGTCCTAGACCTTCTTATTCCAGTTATCCAAAGGAGACACTTTGTGAGCAGACCAAGGATCTAAAGCCTTTTTTTTTTTTTTTAAGAAACTTAACAAAAGCTCTTGTTTACGAAAATTATTGGAGGTGTTTATTGATACAGAGATTGACATAAGCGTTAATCAAACTGGGAAGGCAAAATATTTGGCTTTTGACACAAGACTTAAATTAAAGAATAAAAATTATATGCTGCAAGATGAGTGAAGAAGTTAGAAGTAGAAGATAAGCAATCTAAATAAAATAAAGATTGTATGGACTGCAGCTGGGAAATGAAAACATTACATAAGGATTCAGTCTTTTTTTTAAGGTTGGTTTATTTATTTATTTAGTTAGTTAATTATTATTTTTTGCCATTAGAGTATCTTTATTTAAGCAAGATTTCAGGGCCAAACATTACAGCTTAAGCCATATGACATACAATGAGGAACAGTATTGTATAAAAGCACATCACTTTGTATCCAGACTATAAATATTTTAATTCAATAACAGTTAATATGATTTTAGGAAACAAAAGCAAAAATTAAGTTTTATAATTTAACTTAACTGACCTTTCACCAACAAAAAAATCCTGAAGCAAAAATGTAAGAAATAAGCATACAGGTAAATAAATATTTATAGTTAGAAGACAACAATCTAATAGAAAAATATCATAATGTAAAAAGTCTAAGTCCTTAAGTTACGTGAGGTCATGTATAAACACATTTTGTTCCAACATTGTGATATTCTCAAGGATCATTCTTGTCTGACACTTGGTAATTATTGACTTCTCTGACTGTGTTACTTTTTTGCCTTTTTAAAAAATATGATATCAATCACAGGTATACAGAAAAGTTCTAACAAATGATTCTAACTTTATTCCTTCTAAGATTTATTTTAATGTATATATTTAATCATCATGATCAAATTGATCCAAAACCCACATAATTTTTATGCATAATTGCACATGATCCTTTTAAGGTTATGTGATTTTTTTGAATAGAAATATTGTTTTTATGAATTTAATAACAGTTTGTTTAATTATCAATAGATGGCAAATATTAGTAGATTCAATAAAATAACCATTTATGTCAAAACGTACTACAATTTATTCATTTTATATCCCAGTTGTAGCCCCCTCCTTCATCTCTTCCCACTTCCACCAACCTTCCTTCCTCCCTCTTCTCCCCTTATGCCTCTTCCCTAGTACACTGAGAAGGGAAGTCCTCCTCCCCTACTATCTGACCCTAGCTTATCAGGTACCATCAGGACTTCCTGGATTCCCTTTCTCTATGACCTACTAATGCCACCCCACCAGGAGGAAGTCATCAAAAAGGTGGCAATTGAGTTCATGTCAGGGACTGCCCCTGCTCTTCTTAGGGGCTACATCTCAACAATGGTTCTAGGTCTTCTACATGCATGTCCTTGATTGATGCATCAGTCTCTGCACTCCCTCTCCCTCCCTGGACAGAATAGTAGATCACAGATGAGTCTGGTAGAAACAGATGAAAAGTTGTGTCAAAGAGTACCTCCACAACCGAAGAATTCCTTTAAGAAACAAGACAAATAAAACTTCAACTGTCCGCAATCTAATGGGAATAAATGGTCTTAATGGACTCAGCAAATGCAAGAAGCAGGACTTATTGTCATGTATTTAAAAATCAAAAGAAACTAGAGTGGACAGCCTTGCCTTGTCCCCGATTTCAGTGGGATAAACTCACACACCTACGGATACTTGATTTTTGACAAAAAAACAAAGCCATACAATGAAAAAAAGATAGCATCTTTAACAAATGGTGCTGGTCTAACTGGATGTTTCCAGATAGAAAAATGGAAATAGATCCATATTTATCACCCTGCACAAATTATATTCCAAAGGGATCAAAGACCTCAACATAAAACCAGACACACTAAACCTATTAGAAGAAAAGTAGGGAAGAGGCTTGAACGCATTGACACAGGTTTCAACTTCTTGAACATAATACCAACAGCATGGGCTCTAAGATCAACAACCAATAAATGGGCCTCATGAAACTGAAAAGCTTCTGTAAAGCAAATGACACTCTCATCAGAAAAAACGACAGCCTACAGA